ATAGAGATATCGATAGATAGATAGAGATATCTATAGATAGATAGATAGAGATATCTATAGATAGATAGATAGAGATATCTATAGATAGAGATATCTCTAGATAGATAGAGATATCTCTAGATAGATAGAGATATCTCTAGATAGATAGATAGAGATATCTCTAGATAGATAGATAGAGATATCTATATATAGATAGATAGAGATATCTATAGATAGATAGATAGAGATATCTATAGATAGAGATATCTATAGATATCTATAGATAGATAGATAGAGATATCTATAGATAGATAGATAGAGATATCTATATATATAGATAGAGATATCTATATATATATATATTTTTATTACAGCTCACGTTGGCATAATGACACCTTCTTTTATAGGTTTCTTGGTTTTATACAAGGACTCATTCCTGCAACACTCTATAGCTTGTGTGTAGCTAAATACTCAATAATAATCATGGTTTATTCGATGATTTATATTTTGTATTAATAACCTATATGTGGAAATAACTAATAAATGAAGTGGAAAAAAACACATTATTGACCTCCAAAACGTAGTAGGTAGAATGAGAAAGTAGCATGAAAACAAAATAACACGTCGACTGTTATCCAAGTAATGTACAAGTACTTCAGAATTGTACTGAAGTACAGTATAAGTAAATGATAAGTATTGAGTTACATCCCACCACTGCTGCATAAACTACAACTAGTCCGTGTTCTCTTGAGCAGACAGTCCACCCTTCATATCACTGGACGACGGTAACGGACCTTGTAAACCAGACGCCATTTATAAAAAAAACTAAACAAAACAACTCACAATTTAAAAAAAAAAAACACATAATAGGAGCCAACACCAATATTAAAGTACCAATGTCCAGCCTATTAGGGACGAAGAACTTTGTTTCCCCTCGGAACGTAACATTTGACTGTTAAAATGACAGTTCGCCATCTTTGTTACGCTACGTGACTTCTTTCCGTTGGTCCCATCTCGCTCAGCTAGTGTTTCTGACCGGTCAACACACTCAACTGGTGTCCGCAGCCATCGCGGTTGTTCGTATGCCGACATGCAGTCTCAGTAATACTAAACGTTGACTCACCTCACGTCTCATATTTGGCTCCGTAGTTAATTTTTCTTTTTTGGAATTTCCGATATCAACAGCAGTCTTAATCGCCGTCTCAATGATGGACTTTGTTTCTGAATAAAACACTAAGTTTTCTGACATTTTTACCTTCAACGCTAACAGCCGACTCCTAACAGTGCTGACAGACAGCAGCGCCATTGATTCCGGAAATGGAAGTGGCACAAATGTAGTCATATTTCAAAATAAAACTTTTGAAAGCTGCTTCGATTGCAAATGTTCTTTTATTGCAATAACGAGAAAATAATATGCCATTATACACATAATTCTACATTAGAAAATAATTTGTTATTTTCTTTGAAAATAATTACATCTTAATGGCCTTTCGTTGAATATTACAAATAAACAAAACAAATACAGATAAAAAAAAAAAAAAGAAAACCCTCAAACTTGACTTCACTTAAACACAAACTCAACTGGAGAAGATAAATAGTTTTAGCTGCTGTAAATAAGGTCATACAACACATTTTTGAAATCATTAAGCTGGTATCGTTGCTGCATTTGTCACCTTAAAAACATTTACATTATCTTACCTCGACATTTGGGGTTTCACGTCTTTGACAGAAGTGTCTGTGTTTTTAACAGCTGAGGTTATTGAGACACAGAAAGAAACGGAACTATAAATGCCACAAACAATGCTGCTATTCTTCACTGTCAACACTCCGAATGAGAGTGGAGCTGCAGCTACTTTTACAATCGCTAACTGTGTTAATTACTATGGATACATCCCTAGGCTGCCAAGATTAATGAAAACTAAGAGTTAGTGAGCCTTTAAGTGACTAACAGCCCAAAACAAAAGCTTTTAGTTCATGAGGACAAACCAACATCCATTTGCCACTGTGAAGCTATCACAGGTAAGTAAATATACAAATCTTCAGTCAATAATTTAGCATGTTAATTTCGTGAATTGTACCTGCTCCCAACAATAGATCATGAAGATGAAACTAAAGGCACTGATCCACACACAAGTAATTTGATTTCCCTTAATACAACACGCTGTCAAAGTCCTCCCGTTTGGTGGGACATCGTTGCCTACGGCCCGTCGCAGCTGTGCTTCTTCAGCTGCCTCGAGTCCGAGAAACCCCGGGAGCACTGCTGGCACGAGTACAGCTTCTCCCCCGTGTGGATCTGCATGTGGGACTTGAGCTGGTTCGACTGGTGGAACTTCCTGTGGCAGTACAAGCACTCAAACTGCTTTTCGCCCGTGTGGATCCGCAGATGCCTGTAGAAGTTCCCGTCCGTTCGGAAGGCCTTGCCGCACTGGTCGCACTTGTACGGCTTCTCCCCCGTGTGGATGCGTTCGTGCTGCTTCAGGCTGCCGGCGTGGAAGAACCTCTTGCCGCACACGTCGCAGACGAATGGCTTCTCCCCCGCGTGGCTCCTCTGGTGGTAGCCGAAAGAGTACTTGTTGTGGAACGACTTCCCGCATATGCCGCAGTTGAACTCCTTGTGCTCGCAGTGGCCCCTCTCGTGGAGCTTGAGGGAGCCCGCAGCACTGAAACCCCTCAGGCATATCTTGCAGCTGAACGGCTTCACCAGCGACTTGTTCCGCTTCCTGGTCTGGAATAACCGCTGCGTGCCGTCCACGTCCTGGTTCCTGTCCGCGTGCACGTACTTCTGGTGGATCAGCAGCCTGCAGTTGAAGAGGAAGGTCTTCCCGCACAGGTCGCACATGAACGGCTTCCTGGCGCCGTGGATGAGCATGTGGGACTTCAGCTTAGTGTTGTCCGAGAAGCTCTTGCCGCACTCCTGGCAGGAGTGCGGTTTCTCCCCCGTGTGAATGCGGAGGTGCCGCTTGAGGTTGTTGTTCAGGCTGAACCGGGCGCCGCATATGTGACAGGTGAACGGTTTCTCCCCCGTGTGCACCACACTGTGCCTTTTCAGAGCCGTGCCGGTCCGGTACGACCGGTTGCACACGGTGCACGTGAACGGCGTGATGCCCGTGTGTTTCCTCTTGTGCACGGTCAGGGAGTGGGCATATTTGAATGTCTCCTCGCACATGGAGCACTTGTACTTCTTGGAGTTGGAGTGAACGATCTGGTGGAAGCGGAGTGTGTCCTTGCTCTTGAACTCCTTCCCGCACGTCGCGCAGCTGAACGGCCGCTCCTCCGAGTGCACGGCCATGTGGCACCTGAGCTGCACCGACGTCCTGCAGGTCTTGTCGCAGAGCTGGCACTGGAACATCTGCTTCCACTTCTCGTGGCGCAGGAGGTGGTTTTCCAGAGACCGCTCGATCCGGAAGGTCTTCCCGCACTGGTCACAGGCGAACGGCTTCGGCGGTTTCGCCCGCTGGTGGCGCTTGAGATGGTTCTGAAGCGACTGGTCCTTCCGGAACGACCTCTTGCACTGGGAGCAGGGGAAGGGCAGGGGTGCTTTGCTCGTCTCGTGACGTGAGAGGTGGTTTTCCAGAGACTTCTTTTCCAGGAAACTTCTGCCGCACTTCTCGCAAGGGAAAGGCTTCTTGTGGACCTTCCCGTGTTTCTTCAGATCGCCCTTCAAATGAAACGTGACGTCGCAGTGCTCGCAGGAGAACCGCTTTGCTGTCTGCGCGTCTTTTCTGCTCGGCCTCCTTCCCGGCACTCCACCCGTCTGGATTTGTTTCTCTTCGGCGATGTCGTCAGTGGAAACTGGAAATAGAGGAGAAAAATTTTACAAAATAAGTCTATTATTTAAAGATTTTATTTTAATGGTTTGTTTTTTCCCCAAGAGGATTGCATCCTCTACCCATTCCTGTAAGAAGCAACTGTCTGAAATCTGATCATACCTTCTTCAATTTTGAAAGTTGCTCTCCTGGTCCTCCTCGGCCTCCCTGAAGGTGCCTCTTCTACAGATTTCTGTGATGCATGAAAAAATAAGTATGATAGGTTTAATTAAAAAATATTGGTTCCATTAAATGACGTTCAATCAGCACCCCGACAGCAAAAGATTTCCTCAGAATTATACTTCCTAGTTATTTAGAAACATTTATTTTTGGCGGTCAGCCTGTTCGCCCTTGTATTACACTGCATCTCCACCAGAGTGGGACATGAACCCCACTGAGCTGCAGCTGAAGTATACAGACACATCATAGTTCAGGTTGGACAGTTTTAAAGACATTGCTGCATTCAGACAAATCACGATCTGCAGAGTAAAAACCTAAAAACAGCACAGAAACACACAACCTTTTCCACTCGTGCCGAGTCCACACCGCTGGCGGTGCTGGAGTCTGGACTGGGGGCGCCTTGAGGAGCAGACTCCGGTGAGGCCGCAGAGACGGGAGGCAGGGCGACGACTTGGCCAGCACCCACCAGCGGCACCGTGGGAGCGGGGCTGTCGCCGAACGCCGTCGGGGCTGTCGCTGGTTTGGGGACAGTCACTGATCCAGCTGTGGGGCTGGGAACAGCTTCAGGGCTCCCCGCTGTCACCGGATTTGACGTGGATTCCTTCGCACTGACCAGAGGGGCGGCAGGGCCGGTGGAGATGGACAACACCGGTGCTCCTGTGACGCGTCAAAGACAGAGAGAGAGAGACATAATGTCACATCATGATCAAGATACCAAGCATGTGTTGTGCGATGAGGAGCAAAACTGCCAAAGATTCAGTTGTTCCAGCTTCTCAAATGTGCAGTTTTACTACATTTCAATATTGAATATGATTGTAAATGAAATATTGTTAGGTTTGGGGCTTTAGGTCAGACACAATTAGAAAATCTGACTAAGTCTCTGGTAAATTGTGACTTATCATAATAGAATAGTTAGTGACAGACTGTTGCACACATAGTTAAAAGATAAATTCATCACCTTGTTGAGCCCCAACATTCTAACACCCCCCAGATGTTTTCTAAACTCAACGTAACTGACTGTTGAGTCATGTGACCATCACAGTGATCGATCGACTAACCTATCAGAGAGCAGTCCTGCACCAGGACGTGGGTCGGGCCTCCCTGCATCTTGTTGCCGCCTTCCCCGATGCTCCTCAGCTCCTTCTCCAGCTGCTCCATCTCCCGGCCGAGCTGACCCACTCTGGCTTCCAGCTCCTGCTCCAGCTGCCCGGCTTTCTTCTGCAGCACGTCCTCCAGCTGCTCCACTTTGGCCCGCAGAGCCTCGTTCTCCTCGAACAGCTCCGATGAGAACTCCGTGAACACCTTGTGGATCTGAACCACCAGGCTCTTCTCTATCTCCTGGATTTCGCCGACCGTCGCCTCTTCCCACTCCGTGTTTGGCGCCTCTTTCGCCCAGACATTCCTGAAAACGGACACGGTCGCCTGGATGGCAACTTCCACGACCGACGCCACTTCGCTGCCGAACCTCGCCTCCATTTTTCCTCGGTCAGACGCTAAAGCTCAACTCGCTGTGTCCGCCGGTTCGCGGGGCATTTTTATAGCGTAAATAGTAACTTAAATAAGAGTCAGTTGGACTTGAAACACAACAACCGCCTTTCTTCCGTGTAGATGTTACTTTCAGATGTCATAAATGGCGGACTGTGCGTCACTAAACACGTTCCGTACTGCACTTCCGCTTCCGGTGTCACATCCGCATTTCAAAATAAAGGCAGACTGACGCCCCAAGAACAATAAGCGAAAACATCCAATGGTGAAGGAATTATTCAGATATTTCACTTCAGTAAAAGAAGAAATAATGCAGTGTAAAAACACTCTGTTACAAACAAAAGTCTTGCATTCAAAATGTTACCTAAGTAAATATATTAGTAGCATCAAAATATACTAAAAAGCACCCAAAGTAAAAGTACTCATTATGCAGAATGGCACATTCCAGATTCATATATATTATATTACAGAATTAGTGATGTAATCATATACTTCAATGTTGCAGATGATAAAGTCAGGACTAGTTTTAATCACATTGCATATGGCTGGTTAGCTTAAGCTATTATATTTTAATAGTTAAATTGATTTATATTTTTGTTTTAATATTCTGAACTATTAGTAACTGATGTAGTTAGATAAATGAGCTGGAGAAACAAAAAGTACATTTGTCTCCAAAAGGTGGTGGACTAGAAGCTGAAAGTAGCATGAAATGTAAATACTTAAGTAAAGTACCTCAAAATTGTACTGCACTTGAGTAAATGCACATAGTTACATTCCACCTCTGATAATAACTACAACAGTGTGGAGAAGAAAAAAAAAACATATTTAACATGAAAACGGTGAGGTTGAAATGTATTTTCTAGCAGCTAATTTCCAAAATGTATACTCGCTGACTTTGAAGTGGGCTATTTTTTTAACATAAATAACGGAGCTGGTCCTTTGTGGCCCTCCATGAAGCACACTAAGGACCCTTCAAGACCCTCAGACCTCACTTATCTGCTTCACAAAAACACACACACAAACATGAACTTTTTAATATCACAATTTGTATTTATCAATTCAAAGAAACGGCTGTAGAGAGCAAATGATTCCCAGTTGGTTCTGATCATTTTACACACTGTTATCGGTTCATTCACTCACCCTCGACTCGCGTTGGTAGCTTGTGTTCCCCCGGTATGTTACAGTGATTGCATAGTGGAGGGATGGGGCTTGAAAGACATGCACAGCAGTACCATAATAAGAGACTATGTCATTCATGCAACCTCTTTGTCCTATTGTGTGTGTGTGTGTGTGTGTGTGTGGAGGTGTTTTCAACCCGGTGTATCCTCAATCTCACTTCATAACATACTGAAAAAAAGTTAAACGTAACAATGACAAGGGGCAGTTTTCCCAGTGTCCCTATACATAAACTTGTTCTCCTGTTTGTTAGTTTTTTTACAGAAAATACTTATGATCCCATACATTTATACATCATCAGGCTGCTGTAGGCAGGCATACAGAGAGACAGACGGGCTGAGGGCAGATAGACAGTGGTGCTCTGGGGTCCTGGGAAGAGAGAAACCATGGCAGCAAATATTCACTGTTCAATTTTGATCTCAGAACGTCCTCTGGAGTAACATTTAGAAATATCTCTGTTTGTTTGCATCTGCAGGGAGCACATGAGAGGTGTGTGTGTGAGGTGTTATCTAATGTGGCGGAGGATTATTTTGTAAGAAAACGGGTGCATTCATTTTTATAAGAAAACCTCCAAATAAAAGATCCATGTGTCCACTGAGTGGTTAGATTTGCCAGCCCTGATTGTCCTCAGAAACATATAAAAATGTAATGCTAGATTAAAAAAATTAAATAATTATACTCAGAAACTGAAGGTTGATTGTGGTCGCTGTAGTCTGAGCCCTATTCAAAAGTGTTTTGTAAATGATACATTCCAGGCGGTGTGTGACGAATGACGAGCGTGATATGCAACACGTAAACAGTATCAACACATGCTGTCTGTAGAATGTGACGGTTGAGTTTTACAGCTGTTCTTTACAGAACTGAAGTTTGACATAACGCATGAATTCAATTCAATTAAATCGTTGAGTCTATAAAACATTAGAAAACAATATCAAACAATTCCCATGGAGCTCAAGGTGTCGTCTTTTATTGTCATGTTTTGTCTGAGCAGCTGGCCATAAAGATATTCACTTTATTATGTTATAAAAACAGAAAAAAGCGGCAAATCTTCAAAGAGGGTCGAACCAAATGAGTTTTTGCTTAAAAAAATGACTCGGATCAGTGAATCGATTATCAAAATTGCTGTTGATGAATTGGCGGATTGTTTTTTTTTACAAACTGATCCTGAAAACGGCTTCAAATAAAACTTTCTTCTGCCTCACGAGAGGCTCACGAGAGGCTCCGCTGGAGCCCCAAACACCACTGACCATCAACTCTGCAACAGGCCGGCGTCCCTAGTGCAAAGAAAAAGTTGCATATAGTTTCAGTGCATTGCTACCATGGGCATCATCATCATCATCATCATCATCATCAACAATACTCATTCTGGTACAAACACTTCTGAAATCCTCATAAATGACTGCATACTGCTGTGTGGTTTTGGTGCACAAGATGCGACAAAGACTGAAACGGTGTTTCATGTTAGCAGCTGAATGACTGAATGTTCTTGTTTCTGGTTTAATGTACATTTTCTGTTATCTGTTTTCAGAGAGCAGCAGCAAACACAGAGCTGCATCCAAACTGAACTCAACGTTTTTAAATTCATTTCCAGATGAAAAAAAGAAAAACGCTGACTATAAACACATGAATGATAAACCAAAAGGTATTTTATTCGTCATTTCATCCCGGCCGACAGACTGAGGTTTGGAGTGAACAGAACAGCGCGGACGGCAGGGTACCATCCAAACCATTCTAAACCAAAGCTGAGCCTGTGTGGTTGTCTGCTGTGTAGAATGGTTGCTGTACTGCTATCTGTACCCTGCGTGTTTTGGGTCCCGTGTGCATCTGCAGCAACGAAGTGTTCATTACGCTGTTAGAGGCATAATCCCTCAGCGGAGCACTGCCGCGTGGCTGCACACGTGGAAGATTCGCGCGATCAAAACTCACCTCTTCTGACTCTGTTGTGTCCGACATGCATGTGAAACGATTGCATTGATCTGGCATTCACACCTAATTTAGATGCATAAAGGGTGCTGGAATCAAAACAGGATTAAAGAAAAGTTACAGCTCTCGAGACATGTTTTTAGAATTTAAAATACTGAAATTAAATAAGGTAGCCTACACCCTAAAAAAGAAGAAGAAAAAAAGGTAAAACTGAACAAATTCTGAGTGGGATAGTTGGGCTACAGGTTGCTCAGAGAGGAGAGCGTAAGTTTAAAGTCCAACTGAAATCACACTGAAAAACACAAATAATCAGTAATAAAGTCAGTTTTCTCTTTAAAGTCATTGTCGATAGTTTTTCTATTATTTAAAGAAAGGTGGAAAAAGGCAGATTTAGCTCCAGTACTTGTTCGTGGTGGTATTTAAGAGTAAGCCCCCCAGAAGGCCAGACGACCAACCCGTCAGTTTTCACCCTTCAAACTGAAAAACACTGTTTGAAAACACTTACGGTAGAAAAAAAGCATAAACCTTTGTGTCTCTGGTCAAAGTGGGTTTTCGAGTGTGGAATGGGCTCAGTGGTGCCTCTTGTGGCTGTAAAGTGCCAGTGGGTGTTTTCAGATGAGCCCATTCCCGAAGAAAACCTACTTTAACTCACTGCATGAAAACAGTGACATAAAAGGTGAGATGAACGCTTTGTCTGAAGACCTTTTAACCAGTGTTTTTCAGCTTTACGAGAGAAAAGACATCACGGAAGAAGACGGAAAACTAAATTAAATGCAAATACCATTCGCCATCATGAAACCAAAAATATGACATTTATATTTCTCCATTTTGGTTTTCAGATTTATTTTTTCAAAGGAGAACGTGACTTACAGAGCATGTATGCGAGTATGCTGCAGCAGCGATTTGAACTGGACTTTAACTAAAAGAATAAAACAAATGAACAAGGTTTTCATACAGCACCAGTGATATCGAAACAGCATTCGTATTTGAAAGGTTTAAAAAAAATTTTTTTTAAATGCCGTCCGCCCAGGATGCTCCCACCAGTAACTTTAGTTTACCCATCAGCCACCACGGCTCGTGCCTCCCAAAAACTCCCCAGCTGCATTTACTGTTATGTGGTAGACTCCTCTGACCATTCTTCTTCGTCGTTTATGGCTTCGTGGTGAGTTTAATGCAAACCGATGCGTGGATGCCGAGCCAAGCGGGCTGCAAAGACGAGCTTCTATCAACGAATGATTTCTCCTTTTAAGCAGAACATGCAGTCTCACAACTTCCAGACTTTTCTAAATATTTGGTGTGTCTGATATCCTCTCGACGCCGTGTCAGTTCATTCACTTATTCACTCATTCACTCATTCCCGTCTTCACTGATGGGATGTTGAACCTGGACAGTTTGATGACCTTTTACACTCTTTATAACCTTTAACATTTTAACCTGCTGAGTTATATTCTTCTGTGTGTGTGTGTGTGTGTGTGTTATGGATCGGACGTGTCTGGAAGACTAAGGTGGCGTCGGAGGGGACGAGCGTATGAATGAGCAAAGCACGCGGTAAGAACACACCAACATAAATATCCTGAGCGCTATGAGGACCCTGGGAGCAGAGAGCAGCGGTACACACACACACACACACACACACAATCACACGCAGAAAAACTACATATTTTTAATTCTGTAAAGAAAAAAAAGGATGCACCTGATTTGTGTGAATAAATCAAAGAAAATATCCAACGAGTAGTTTGATGTTATAAGAGAATAAAAGAGTAGATGAGGCCTCATTCATTAAAAACATGCCAGCCGCAGATTTTGTGCTTATGACCAAAGCCAAACGTGAAATGAATGGAGAGCTGATCCTGATGCTAAAATCAGCAGGTTATGCTGAAGTCCATTAATTTCCTTTGAGGCATCAAAAATGAAATCTTGGCCTCTACAGCTTCCCGAAATATGAATTTTGTGTGTTGTTTAAAAAAAAAATGAGTTAAAACGAATGAGGCCCCTGAGAGCCAGTCTACCATTAAATGAGTTTGTTCTCTTTCTGATCACTGATCCAAGAACTGTACATGTGTTTTTTTTAAAAATAAATGAGTCTTGAGAGCCAAAGTTTCTGCAGTGACTGTATCATGGAGTGATTTTATGCTGAACAGGTTAAACACCTTGTGACTCATCTGTCCTGCAGAAATCTCTAAAATCCAAAATCAATGCGAAGTAAATGACGGGAAGCTTCTCTGTCAGGCAGATCTTTTCAACATTTTAAGCTAATTCCAAAGGATTCCAAGCCTTTGGATGTATTTCTATGACACATTTTTCTGCTTTTCCCTGATTGTTCTGAAGTTCATCGCCTCGGCCATCTACTCTTCTCTTGTCTTAAATCATCATCGTTTCACTAGAATCACTGGAGCCGTTTGTCAGTGTTGACTCGTCCACGGTGAACGTGGTTCCAGGGCTGTTTGGTATCAAAGTAAAACCAGAGTCACCTCCACTTTTTGTTTTTTCCCCACAGCCAGACCTTCCAGACGGATGGGACAAAGTGGAGGAAATCGTTGACTTTCTCTAAGTTTGTATGTCTGTAAAACATTTTGGCATAATTTTCATTCTCTTTCAGAGGAGTAATAAGACATAGTGTAGGATGTCTCGACTTACAGACAGACAGATAGATACAGTAGATAGGACAGACGGACGAGAAATACATATGGTTACAGCTCATCTCATAGAAAAACAAACAAACATGGAACAGAATGAGCGACGTCGCATCGCACTATACCGGCAATCAGAAACAGCCTTCGCGTTAACGAGACGCGCGTCCCGTCACTCTCTCGCGTGTTAACGCCGCCCCCGGAGGCAAGGGGGGGGGGGGGTCAGCAGCGCGAAACTCTCTCTTGCAGTTCTCCGAAACGGCCACCAGAGGGGGCGTGGGCGGAGTGTCAGTGACTCTGTGTGTTCTCACAGAAACACAGAAGAAGAAGAAGGAGAGAGTTAGAGAGAGAGATAGAGAGAGAGATCGATGTCTCCTGCTCCGAATCCGTCCTGTCCGTCCTATGAGTAAAGCCTGGGTCAGTCCCTCTGTACTGCGTGTCACTTCCCATCCAAACTCGACCGCTGTGTTGACAGTGTTGGAGGCGGAGAGAAGGGCGGGGGGGTGGGGCGTTCACTACCAGTCTACGGCCCCGCCCCCATATCCGGAGTTCGTACGATTCAATCCCGACCGATTCCGTCACCCGGCTCACTTTTTCTTACCGGACTTCTCCGAGCGCTTCGAGTCTGACTTCCCTCCCCGTTCCGACCTCTCCGACCGCTCGCCCCTCTCCTTCTCCTTGTCTTTCTCCTTCTCCTTGTCTTTCTCCTTCTCCTTCTCTTTCTCCTTCTCTTTCTCTTTCTCCGCTTTCTCGATCCGATCGGCGCGGTCCGAGCGCTCGCCGCCCCGCTCTGACTGGATGTCCGCCTTGCTGCCGTCGCGCCGCGTGCCCTCGTCGGTGGATGAGGTAGTTGGTTGGGGCTGACCCCATTTGGCGATGTCCTCGTGCTCCGTGATGCTGGCGGTGATGTTGGTCACCCACACCTTGAGGTCGTCCTGCGAAGGAAGAGAGGGATCAAGTTCAGCTGACTGCTCCTCTACTGTTTCTGCTAAGGGCGTCACATCACTTCAGGAGTTTCAGCGATTACATTGTTTTTTTTATATTATGTGATCAAATAAAGCCACTGCCATTTTGAGATGTAATTAGAAACATTAAAAATGTCTCACCTCATCTTTCGCGTGAAACAAAAACTCACTGCCGTCCTTCGTTCTGCAATAAGAGGAGAGAAAATAAACTTAGGAACAGTGTAGTGCAAAACATGTTTGGTGAGACACTGAAGCACGAGTTGCTCACTAGATGCTTCACAGCAGCCCACTGTACCTGAAATGCTGCGGTTAAATGGGTTCTAAGTGTGTAGCATTTCGGGGGATCTATTAGCAGTAATGGAATATAACATCATAGCGTTGTTTTCTTTCATGAATAATCACCTGAAACAAAGAATCGTGTTTTTGTTAGCTTAGAATGATCCCTTCATATCTACATAGGAAGCGGGTCTTCTTCACAGAGACCGCCACGTCATGTTTCTACAGTAGCCCAGAACGGACAAACCAAACAGTGGCTCATTTAGTGTTTGTATGTAACCTAAAGGCGACAGTAGTTCTCTGACGCACTTGTGAAACTGCGGTAACAAGAGACACAAAGTGCAAAACCATGGTGCCGCCAGCCTCCGTCTGACTTACGTTGCTCCTAAAGAATTCTTATTATGGTAAAGAATGTCTCTGAGCGAGGGCGGCGGCGTAACCGGGCTTTTGTACTTGGCAACTCATGTTACTGCAGTCTCGGAAGAGGAGGAGGAGGCGGAGTGAGCAGAGGGGTATTCAGTTGTTTGCAATCTGCAACCACACCGCTAGATGCCGGCAAATCCTACACACTGTTCCTTTAAATCCAAAATAGTCATCATCCAGGGACTGGAACCGTTTAGAACATTAGTGTCACCAGATTTTAACTTGAAGCAGCAGCACCCGTATAAATTGTATCAAATTACAGATATTTGAAGCATCACCAACACTTCCCAATCCATGAGTCGCCTTTCAGTCTGCACGAGTGTTCCATAAAACCACTCCCAAGTGTGTTGTTGGACGGGATTTGGACTGACCGATATCAAACCGAGACCCAGAGATTTAGCATTGTTACTAGTAACTAAAGTGTATTAAAGTATTCGAGTCTAAAAAGGTTTGTATACACTGTACTTGTGTAGGTAACTCCAGAAGCTGGCTAGATCGCTAACTACATTGGTAGCTTATTTGCTAACTGGAACATAGCTTTTTTTTTTAATTTACCTGCAGGAAAATAGTGAAGAAAACCAGCAGCAGCTAAAACGATAGCTACTTCAAAGCTATTTCATAGTCGTCTCTACTTTGTGACTCCCTTTCAAAGGTCAATCCAAAGGTCAAGATTTGTTGTGCTGATTAAATCAACTGATCACATTGATTTCACGTTGAATCTGTCGCAAATGTTGTGAAACCCGGTTACAAACGATTGTATATTCAACCCAGTTCTGCAAAAACAGAGCAGAGCAGAGCAAACGCGAGAATTAAAACAGCATCTCACTTGAGCGTGAAGACGTTCTTCTTCTTCTTGTAGCCGTTGGTGACGTCGCAGTGGCAGTGGGAGAGGTTGAGCAGCGGCTCGTTGTTGTAGGGCGTGGCGGTGTTCTTGGCGTCCTTGTAGAAGCCCATCTCCCCTTTGTTCAGCACGCAGTACAGGTTGACCCATGACCTGCTGTGGTGTGGGAAGGCGGGAGGGGTGAGGGGGGGTGGGGGAGTAGCGGAGGAGGAGCAGGGGGAGGAAAGGAGTACGGGAAAGGTAGTGGTCGGGGAGGTGGAGACGGGAGGAGTCAGGAAGAGCTGCGGAGTCGCTCTCGCTAAGCTAACACCTCACTCACCTGACCAGAGCAGACAGGTAGGTGGGCGGGATGGACCGGCGCCAAGAAGGGAGGAGGAAACACACTGCTGAACAAACACAGACGCACGGACGGACGGACGGACGGAGGATGGAGGGATGGGGAGGGAGGCTACGTTCAGTTTGTGTGTCTCTGTGCGCGGGGCTCATATATGACTTACCTTGGAGGAGACGAGAGGAGCAGCCAGTAGCACCGAGGAAGAGAGGAGAGAAGAGGGGAGAGTTTGGTTAAATGGCATTTTGGCTGCAAACGCAACTTAAAACTCATGAGTCATGCTCCTTTTGCCTCTTTGAGCGTGTCTACATGCACACGGCATTCCCATTAATAAGCTTACGCCCAATTATAGGTATTATTCAGAGCAAGCTGTCTGCGTGCAGCTCCATATCCTGATTTCAAATACCTCTTTGTAACAATAGAGATAGAACTTAGACTGGAGAAGACCGACGGTGCATGTGATACTGTGTCTACATTACTGATGTTAGCACTAGTTTCATGTGTTCAGGTTCTTTATTGGCGTCTGCACAGCCATTAGAGAAGTAATGATAATCTAAGATCTCAGGGTCCCTCCAATAATGCTCGTAAATATAAAATCCTCAAAAGAAAAGACATAAAATAGTGAAGAAGTAACTACAATTACCGCGTTGCGGTTGTATGCCCTTGCCAGCCAGTCAAGTTGTAGTTTAAATCCACTTCTGTACAAAATGTAATCATTTTATTCTTTTAGAATGTGTGGAACTGTCATAATTAGCCAAAAATGTATTTCATGAGGCCAAAGTGACCTTTGACCACCATCCCTGAGCACAGGTGGACGTCTGTCCATTGTAAGAAATTCCCTCGGGTCGTTCCGAGACATCGCTTTGAACAAGAATGGGACAGACGTGAGGTCACAGTGACCTTTGACCTCCACAATCTTATCAGTTCTTCTTCGAGTGCAAGTGGACGTTTGTGCCAAATCTGAAGAGATTCAACTTGAAAAAACACGATGCCATTCAGCCATGGCTTAAAGTATAGAATATAAAATAATATAGGCATATATCGGTCGTGCAGTAATTTTAAATTAAACTGAATGTAAACAGGAATCATAATTCTAATAAAGACAACAAATGCTGTTCTTGACTTCGGTAACAGTGGCTTGACTTCACCACATTACTTTATCTCGAGCTTTAACCTCATCTTACGATGCAACGCTCTGAAAATCAAGCTGACCGAGAGTAAACATTTTGTTTTTGTCAACCATTATTTTCCAGGTGTTCCACGACGACGACCCTTCTTACCGGATGTCTGTCGTGGCTGTTTTGACAAGTTGTAAAAAAAAAAAAAAAAAAGGTCACATTAGATGGCAAAAATACTCGGGAAGGCTTGCTCCAGAACTGGACTTGCACTTCAGCGTGGCCCTCATTTTTCCCCGGACACGACTGGGTCAACTCTCTCCTCTCATTCTGAGGATGTTTGATGCACAGGAGAGGCGGCTCTACGGCCAAAGCGTTTCTATTTTTAAGACAGGAGAGCAGATGGTAGAAAGTAACTTAAGTACATTAACCCAATTACAGAACTTAAGTAGAACTGTGAGATGTAGCGGAGTTGAAGAAAAAGTACGTAAGAGGCAAATATTGTACTTTTTATGTATTTGACAATTTAGTTACTAGTTGCTTTGTGGATTGAGATTAATAATACAAATATAAATCAACAAATGACGTTGACTATACAGGTTAAGATAAGACAGTTAATGCGTCAATATTTTAATCCAGTAATGTAACATATATATGATTCTGAAATACACCATTGTGCATAATGAGTACTTTTACTTGAAGTATATTTTTATGCTAAGACTTATGTACTTTTACTTAAATAACATTCTGAGAGCAGGACTTTTACTTGTACCATAGTGTTTATGCACAAGGTATTGCTTGTTGTACTTGATATAGCCAGATATAACTATATGTTAGTCGTAGATTTATCTCAGAATATGGAGAGAAACCCTCAGTAACCCGTTAATTAACTGAGCAATGAAGCCAAAAGTGATGCAAAACCTAAACGTGAAACTAGAAACTGACGTATTTTAATACCATGATATGCGGTTAGTTTGTCATTCAGTTCATCAGGGTACCATACAGAGTACACACACCGTTCACATGCACCGTAGCCTCTTAATAGGAACGCTCATCTTGAATAATACCAGAATATTAATGTGCACATACACATACTCAGTGCCTCGTCATGTAGCTATGTAATAGAGACAGGTTGAACCTCAATCCTTCCTCTCAGACTAACTGTATCCTCTCTTTCTCTGTATTGATTGGAGGAAAATAGACCGAGGGCCCGCTCCCTTCCCCACAGATCTACTCCTCCAATCAAAGTTGAACACAAAGCAAAAAGTGAGCATACAATACGAGGAGCCGTTTGGAGATTCACACTTGTCCAGATTGAAGCCATTCAGGATTATGTGTTACCTTGCCATGTACATTACAGGGCATGTACATATACGAGACATTCATCCACTGCCTTGAGTGGGCAGTGAGTGGGACTCATCCACAGCTGGAAGGGGTGGGGGGGTGGGGGGGGGGGGGGGGGGGGTGGTGGCTCGGGGCTGAGGATGGGCAAGGGCGCGG